GATTTCTACTTTTGTAAATTCTTATTGATTGAACTTCAATTGTAAATTGTAGGAATAAACTATATTTTGGCATTTCTTTTTATTTTTTAGAGTACTGGTTGCTTTTGGACATGTTGGAGCACCACAATGGACATGCAGGATTCAAAATATAATTTTTTTAAAGATGGAGACTACCACAATATTCAGACCAAATAAGTTAGGATTTTGACAAAAACATCCCAGGATTGAAAACCGTGATTATAAAAATTGCATAAGCAAGTGACCTCGTTTTGTGACTCACAGCCTGATCTACAACTAAGAAAATGGATTTTTAAAGTGCTTATTCTTTGCATATGGATTAATTAAGGACCCAGCTAAATTTTCCATTTTTCAATTATAGATAAAATGTGTTTAAAATGGATATTAAATGGCTAAAACAAAAACCATTTATTTTTCATTTTTTATCTCATTTGCATAAATGGTTTTGGAATGGTTAATTTGCATGTTACAGGGCCTAAAAAAATGGAGTTTGAATGGGGTTTGAATGGAGTTTGAATGGAGATAAAATGAAAAATGGTTTTTAAATGGTCATTCTTTCTGTTGAGAATTCTTGAAAGATTTGACAAAATAAATGGCTTCTGAATGGTCTTTAAATGGTCGGAAAAGAAATGGTTTTTAAATGGTATCTAAATGGATTTCATTTTGGTAAGGGTAGACTGATAAAGGACTACACGTACACAATTCAGGCAATGTTACAGTAGTATGAGTAAAGCATAATATGACTAACCTGTATTCATATCACACCCTGTACTGCTGTACACATCACGCACAGTTCTGGTTTGGTGTCATAGCTTTATTGCAAAGCTCTAATATTTGTCATGTTTTAGAGCACCATGTTAATGTATATATATAAATATACACAGTAACACATATGTACACAGTCACCATTTTATTATGCATGGTCAGAGACTTGATCATGCAATTTGATATACTAGGCCGGAATTAAAAATATCTTTGTTTCCCCTAACCCGACCCTAAATTCTCAAGTTGGGTCGGTAGGTAGGTAAACAATTTTATTTTCTGATAGCAGCTTTGAAAATACATTGTAAAATTTAATGGAAAGTTACATTTAAAAATAAGAAAAGTACAAAACAAATTGATTTGTGAACAAAGTGCTAAGTACTGGTATCATGCATATGCCTTTTAAAAGCAAAACTCATGATTAATAAATTCACAACTGTAATTTAGTTGAACTTGTGAAATATCTCACGCAAGAGTACATTTATATAAGTCGAATAAAAGAGACAAGATTCTCAACTACGCAAAGACTGGACATCAGAGTATATTTTTTCAAACCTTCAATCAGCCTCCAGTGCTTATATACAATCAATGTACCTTTTTGAGGGCCGTGAGATTTGCAGTGATTCTGGAGTATTTTGCTTTGGAGTTGAGACGTAATTAAGTGGCTAATTTTAAGCCACGGGTTAAAATACCAATGAGGAAGGTTGAAAACGGTCCCTCAAAATTAAGGTACCATAAGTGTCCAGTGTCGCAGAAGATGCTGGCTGAAAAAAGATCCCCAAACTGCTTAATGGCAAAAAAAGAGCGTAGTGCGTCTAAATTTGGAGCAATGGGGAAGTGTTCAAATGCAGTCCCAACAAATTTCGAAGGGGTTATAAGCAAAGAAACAGCCAATCTTCCAGGGCCTAATTAAAGAAAAATACACCGGACGTCGAAGGAAGCTGAATTGAAATGATTTCAAAACTTTTTGGAAAGAGTATGTAAACAACAATATTTAAATGAAGCAAACAGAATCTATAAATGATAAAAATGCTATATACAATGTCATAGTCACGAAATTTAACCATTAAATAAAGGCATGAAAAAGGACAACTGAATTATATCAGGATGAATATCGAGACATATTTACATTAACTCCTATGATTCCATAATGGCATATAGTAAACACAGGAACATAGATGAATTGGTAATTAGATCAAAATTCAAATTGAATAAAATGCAGTGAAATTGAATGTTGTGTTTAATAGGTGGTACCCTCATCTGCTCATGAGGCTGGCCTTTCCATGTATAACGTATCTTGAATTCAACAGACAGAATTGTTTGTTCCTTGTTTACCCTCCCTTTCGAAAATTTATTTACTCACATGGAGACGCCAAGACACCGAAACACTCTAAATTAGTCATTGTAAAATTTATTTTTAAATTGTTTCAAGAGTGAAGAATTCTTGTTATCTAAAGGCACAAGATTGAGGCGTTGCCGTTGTTTTATGAAGAACTAATTCTCGCCATTTTATTTCCAACAAATACTTGAAAATCACGGTAGAACAATGTTTGCCATTCTCTTAAAATCTGATTTTGATAGAATTGTATGTTATAAAACTTGGTTGACAATAAAAAAAAATTTTAAATCATCTTATTTGAAAAATCTTTTCAGTCGGCGCGATTTCATTGGGTCGGTCGCGTTAGGGGAAACAAAAGTAATTTTTATTTTGGCCCTATATACAGGTCCAGCACAATACCCCGATAAAGGTATATAGCTTGATAAACAGCTATTTAGCTTTATGAAGGTATTTTGAAATACCTTTGTTCAAGGTATTTTATGTAATGAAAATTCGAAAAAATTCTTTAAAAATTACCCAAATACTGAAAGTTGAGTTCTGAGTTTTTGTCAGTGTGTCTACTCGTGCATAAAAACACTCTGGTATAAAAAAGAAAGCATAAAATAATGTCTCCTCACACAACATGTTTTTCTACTGATTTCATTGTGTTTGTACTTGTGCATGGGTGAATTTAAAGACGTACAACACACTGGGGGAGATAACTCTTGCGATTTCAATTGAACGTTTGATGTGACATCGAGTTAACGAGGCTTGAGGGTGGCAGCCATTTTTAGACTATTTCAATCTCATTTCAAAGGAGAGCTCCATATAAAGATATAGAAATTGATCAAATTTAAAAACTGAAATTTTTGAATTTTTTCTTCGTCAAATGATAGTTCACAGCTAAAGAAACCGTATCTGAAAAAATAAGTTAGATCTGGTGGTTAATTTGGGATTAATTTGTTGACCCTCCAGCCTCCTTAAACATCAAAAATAAAGAGTCAAAACGACGAGTAAAACGATCCCGATGTATATCAATCATGAAAGAAAATTGGGATAAGGGGCTTGGCTGTAATTGTGCGTACTATACTCAACCAATAAGTATTTTTTTAGTTAACCGGATTAAACACTGTAAAAGCAAGATATAAAATACCATCCCTTAATGTTTATTTCATTTCATTTCATATACAATAAATTGTATTTTTGATCAAAGCAAATCAAAATTTTTTTCAATTTTCATTACAGAAAATACCTTGATCAAGGTATTTTAAATACCTTGATAAAGCTATATAGCTTTATCAAGCTATATACCTTTACCGGGGTATTGTGCTGGACTTAATATAATAATCTGATAATTTTGATGTAGGAAATGAGAGATGTATACTCCCTTCCTATGATATCGCGGGTTCTATGGTATCGCGGTATTTCTGTTTATGAGCTGGCACGCGCTGAAAACGGCACGTGATAGCCCGATATTTTTATACATTGTAAACATAGCCATGTTGAATTCCCTGACAATTTTTTTTAGCAGAATTTCGCATCCTTTGATTTGTTTACTTCATTTCTGTAATATTTTCGCACTTTGGTCGACATTGATAAATTTTACGAAAACTATGTGATATATACCAACATGAAAACGATGAAAAAACTAAGATAACAAAGTTCAATCGGAACATGCTATAGTTTGGTGTTTACTATAAAAACGAGGCTTCGAAGATCACGTGATTTCCTTTTATGGAAGTGGAAAAAAAATTAAAAAGTATGGAAAACAGTTTTTGTAAAAAATTAACAAAAATTTCGCTGGTAAAAAAAAAATTGAACACTGCAGTTTGACCTGAAACATTACGAATTATTTATCAAACATAGCTTTTTTTTCTTTTTTCTTTATAAAAATATTTTTCACTAGAGAAAGAAATGTTAAAGAATTGAAAATTCAAAGTTTAACCAATAAAAATAAAAAAAATCAGCAGGGTTTTTTAAATTCCGGAAAAATATCAAACCGATAGATACTTGTTAAATATTTACAATTTGTTACTTATAATTTTTTTATTTTCTATCTAAATATTTGTGTCAATTTTCTCTTTATTGCATTTTTTATATTTAAAAGAAAGATTATTGTTCATTGTATCAAAATTTGCCTACTACTACTACTTTTCATATCCTAATTTTTGAGTGAAAAAAGAAAGATATTATTATAAAGACTTCAAAAGAGTTTTGCATGTCTGGAGAGAACATGTGATGTTTGTAAATGAAGAATGTCTGTCTATAAAGCAACTATAATCTATTTTGTTCTTAAATACCCTATAAAAGTTAAAACAAGGGATAAAATCCTATTAGTAAGAAAATAAATTATATCTCCACTTCAATGTAGAAATGGGTGGGAGGGGAAGTACAGTACTTCTAATTGCCCCCCCCCCCCCCCCCCCATTCTTAAATCTACATATACTTCAATGGTTGATAATCTTTTATTTCACTTTGAAGTACAATATCATAAAAGTTTAATTACAACAAAGTCATTAAATTATAGGCATATCATAGTTAAATTGCACTTTTATTTTTTTTTTCAAATATGACACTGCTAGGCCGCCATAGTCTATTGTCAACCGGATACCGCGATACCATAGAACTCTTTTGCGTAGTAAGGTAAACAGTGGTACTTCTTTTCGATAGCTCCTAGTAAATAAACAACAAGATGAAAATTCAACATCAGAACAAGAAATATAGATAAATAATAGAAGAAACTGAAAATGATATTACTTTCTTGAAATATCCCAGGTATGGTAGATATTATTACAAAACAGGTTAACTACCGCGATACCATAGGACCCCAGCGTAATATTTTTTTTAACTTGATCTGTCTTGGGACCTGGTAGGTGTACTCTATATAAAAGCTTCACAATACCTTTATATTTCAAGTTATTTCCGCAATATTATCCACAATGAATACATAACACTAACAGTGAGTGGGTGAGTGACGAAACTTTTTGCTGAATGACAATCTCTCACCAGAGGGCGCGCTCCGCTTACACCTCTGTTGTCGTCTAAAAAGTAGTGTGGATTGTCAAATAATTAAATGTCAACAAAAATTGTATAAACATTGATTGTTTTGTATGTTTTACCAATGATGTTATGTGTTTTAAGCTCTCTGGTAGTAAATATTTTCTAACTTTGACTCCTTGATTTCAAAATGAAAATGTGTTAAAAAATTCTAAACAAAATAGTGCCGTATATATTGAAGCTATTTTAATATATATCCAGATTTTAAAAGTACAGAAGAAGTGCTAAAGATTGATGTTTCTAGATTCATTTTATATAATAACCAAGTTGGTGTGAATCTATAATTTATTTTCGTTTTACAAGATTCTTGTAATTTAGACGATAACAGAGGTGTTGGAGCGGAGCGTAAAAACGCCCTCTGGTGAGAGATTGGCTGAATGACAGTTACATGTACGCAATTTTGTGAATAACGATCCCGACTTTTAAAAGACGTTCGCTTAAAGGTACTTGGACACAGATTTGAAGTTAATATTTTCTCATTTTTTCTGTATAATATCACGAATTATATATTTTTATAGCATTTCACACAAAAATTGATTAAAAATCTTATTTCATTTAAAAGTTATTAAAACTTTTAATTTTTTGGCGGGTTTGATTGACACATATCCTTGCACTTTCACAAATTTTAACTTTATTCATAATCCTTAAGAAAAGTGGCAATTTTGATGTGTTTTAATGAGAAATATAAAAACTTTTATCAAGAAAAATAATTTTATTCAGAGTAGAAATGTTAGAAAGCAAAACACCTTCATATATAAGTATCGTCATTCCGAACTAATTAAGAGATGCGTACAGAGTTTAGCAAATCGAGCACACTCGTGTTATGTACACAGTTTTTGTAAACATGGCTCGAGTTCTGTTATTGTTTATATTTAGAATTCACCGGGTGCGTTTAATCGTCACAGTCTGCTTACCACAACTGCACGGATTGACAATATATTGTGTGTTTGTTTTTCTTTCGAACGTGTCTACTGTGAATTTTCTGGATTATAGTATTAATATTTTTCATTTATACAAAACGAGATTGCCACTTTTCCTAAGGATTAAGAATAAAATCAAATTTGTGAGAGTGCAAGGATATGTCAATCAAACCCGCCGAAAAATTTGAAATTTCAGTATCTTTTAAACGAAATAAGATTTTTAATTAATATTTGTGTGAAATGCTATTAAAATATATAAGTGGTAATATTATAGAGAAAATAATAACTTCAAATCTGTGTCCAAGCAAGTACCTTCAATAACTTCGCACTCTAACCGAGAATTGGCTTATTGCTAGCTTATTGCTAGCGCTCTCGAGCGCTAGCAACTACGTTAGTCCAAATTCCTTGAATGCGCATGCTCGGCCGCCATGGTGGTGCATTCTGAGTAAATAGTCTCGTTCAACCAGACCCTCTGCTGTCTCCGTAAATCTCCGACCACTCTGCTGTTCGGAGTTCACGGAGACAGCCGAGCGTCTGGTTGAGCGAGACTATCTGAGTACACTGTGAAAACTACTACAGATAGATATGGCACGCCAAATTCACAAAAATGAGATAATCATAGTTTCACAATTGATAAACTAGGTTTATCGACTGTAAACTATAGTTTACAAACCGTAAACTATAGTTAACGATTCGTTAAGTATAGTTTTCATCTGTAAAACTATATTTAACGTTTGTTAACTATAGTTTACGAATGATAATCTAAGTTTATCTGTCTGTAATCAAACGTTAACAATAGATTTTGTTGATAAACATAGATTCACGTCTGTAAACTATAAATTACGATCGTTAACTATAGTTAAGAGTTGTTAATCATAGTTTCACAAATCGTGAAACTATATTTATCAGATCGTTAACTATAGTTAACGGTTTGTAAACTATAGTTTACAAATCGTGAAACTGTATTTATCAGAAAATCTATGTTTTGCAATCGCAAATGATTGTTTTCGGTGTTAAGTATAGTTTAAGGTTGTGAAACATAGATTATCGCGTTAACTATGGTTTACAGATGTGAAATATAGATTAACGTTGTTAACTATAGTTTACAGTCCGTAAACTATAGTTTACAACCGATAAACCTAGTTTATCGATTGTGAAACTATGATTTGCTCATTTTTGTGAATTTGGCGTGCCATAGATAGACCATACGATAACAATTTCGTTGTATCATGTTGTAGCATGAAATAACTGTTTATTAATTGTGTAATTTAGGCTTTAGAGATAACTTCATATTTATAATATTTCAAATTCTGGGGTTTTTTTGCTGACGGAAAAGCCCGAGTCATTATCTGATTGTTCTAAACAATGACAAGGGATTTTTTTTTCTTACATCTAAGCACAACCAAAGATAGATTCTAATTTCTAATTGGAATGGTCAATTCAGCCAATCTTACAAATTCTCGAAACAGAGGCAAGAATATGTGTTTAAAAAATTCTGATGTGTATGGCTTTTAACCTAACATATCTTGACAAAGATGACAAGAGGACCAAGTTACTTCACATGCGTTCCAAACTCTCTGGACTCTTTACACAACATACACTTTGATTTATTTACTATTCCTTTCAACTCCCGTGTATTTTCTTTGCTAAATTGCCAAGAAATTCTCTTCTTTAAATCAGCTCATATATGCAATGTCTTAATCGGCATCTTCTCCATATTATATAGAGCCCCCCTTTCCAGTAAAGGTCATATAAGTTCCGTTGCGCCAAAACTCCAATAGGTCAGCCCCCCTTGTTTCTTTACTTAATATGTGTCTATAAAATATACTTTACAAAACAATAATAACTTGATCACTCTCCAGCCTCGATAAAAATCAAAGAATTAAGCAAAATAAATCACTCGATTACGGATCTTCCTTTCTGTGTTTAAAAATCTTTTTAAAAGATAAACTTGTTACCGTCTTCCTTGGAAGACGGTATTGTATAATTTAAATTTTTTACAGTCTTCGGACTATGCACTTCCTCTCTTTTGTGATTGGTAGAAATTGCATGATGAGAAAATTTTCAATTATTTCATTCATTGAATTGCTGTTCAAGGCAAGGGAGATAACTTTATGATGATCTATTTTTCGTACGACTTAACAATTTTGCAAGATTTCCAATCTTAAAAAAATGACAAAACGAACAACAAAATCAGCAGTAATTATTTCTTAATAATATGATATTTTTTATAACAATAGATAAAAAGGTCTCTTTCATTTCATTATAAATAAAATTTAATAGTTATAGCTTGAAGGCTTTACAATTTGTTATAATTCTTTTCACCTTTCTTGTTTGAACAGTGAATTACAGGTTTGCCGATCTCAGCCAGTCAAAGTTATTATTAACCTCGGACGTCAACGGTGATCTTCCATCTTGCTTTCAGTCATGTGATCTTATTTGAATTTCATTCAAATGTCATACATTTGAAATCGGAGTTATTTTGTGACACACTCAATAGTTTTTTCTTGATTTCAAAGCCTGTTAATATGAGGATGTAATCAAAACCTGTTTACGATAAAGAATTGCATAAATTAAGAAACATTTTCGAAGAACGTTATGCAGAGCGAAATATGAAATGAGTGATAAGGCAGTTTCCGGCGAGAAATGTAAGGAGTTGCGTATTCCTCCACCAATCACATCCGAGGTTTGAATGGAGCGGAGCGGAGTCAGCCGAGGATTGCCGATTGAGTCAAAGTTTACGGAGATGACCGAACGACAACCGTGGTAGGGCTAATGCCCGTAAAAAGCTAATTTAGAATTACAAAAGAATTATACGGCCTGTTAAATGTAGATCTGTTTACTGTTTAAGATTGTTGCTAAAGACGGTAAGCATTTTAGAAAAGCTCTACTTGTTTGCCGATTGACTCGTCGACAAGTGCGAGAGACATTCTATACTGAAAGGATTAAGAAACGCATATTAAACTTTTGAGTTAAATTAAAAAAATTATTTCAGATATGTTTTTCAGCATTTTTATCATACATTTTAATTCATCTTTAAGCAACAAGTTACCAAAATTTTGTGCAATTTTGAGTGATAGTTCCTGAGATATTGATATCAATATGGTGACAGCCCCCAAAAATAAAACTAAAAATTCTCATAATCTCCCTTTCGCATCAGTAACAAACTTGATTTTCCTGTGCATTGCGTTTACCAGAGCATTTATTTTTTCAAAGCATTATTATTCAACCCTTTCGACGGTAGTCTTATAATGGCTGAGATTAGCTGTACTATTCCAAAGTCAACCAATCCCCCCGCTCAATCGAATCCCGCGAATTTTCGATGAAAAAAAGAATATACAGAACCAAGCAGGTTTGGTACTTGTGAATGTTTGTAAACAAAATATCGACAAATATTAGCTACATTTTCCAGTGTAAACATGCTGAAAACATTACGCAAACCACGCGTATGTGCGCGTTTGAGAGTAAAATCGATGTAGGCTGGCAAAGCTCGCGGCCCAAAATAGAGTGGAGAGTTTCTGTCAGTTTAGGGTGAAAAAAGTGAGTATGTTTGTCTGCTGTATAAATATCAGTTTTGGTGATAATGCCTTGACAATAACCGAGGTGGCGTGATGAAAAGCCCTATCTTGTTGTGACGTTGGTACGCGCCAACGTCACCGTCATGGTTGATTGGAAACATTTTAAGTTCACTCTCTGACAACCAAAAAACACTTACTTGGTTGAAAAGTTGAAAAAAAAATCTGAACATTAGCATGTTTTTGCCTTTTTATTCACTTGTGCAATATTTAATTCAATTACTAAACCCACAGTAGATTCCGTCAGCCATACCACAATTGCAAGAAATTTATACTGACTGCAAATATGCAAAAATGATGTCTATAACTCTAATGCATAGTATGGTACTACAAAATTTTATAACAAAATTATCATCATTAAAATGCACGTGTATTTGACTTTTTATCATTTCCCCTACGTGATGCCATACATTTCATGGTTGAG